ATCTAAACCTGAACATTCCTCCCTTTGATGCTGATGCCATTTTATTTGACCTGGATAATTGAAGCTCAGCTTCCTGTGATGCTGTAAATATAATCCTCCTCACAGCAAAGCACCAGTTCAGTGTAGTGGGTGGAGGGACAACCAGCGCTCCGTCACCTGTTCTATGAACTAATTCAAGTTGTGCTATTCTTCAACAAGCAGATTAAAAACTGCTAGAACCATTTCACAACACAAATCTAAAACCTGGTTGTTTTAAGTTTGCTCCTTGTTGTTTCTCATGTTTATTCTTTTCATTTAATGTTTTTTTATATGTATTACTCAATTTTTACCATTTTGTACCCCCCAGCTTGTAAACTGTAGTTGTGACACCCTTCACGAGTGTTTCTATAGATCTCTCTTTTGTAGTGTTCTCTAGTTCTCTGTGTTATTAATAAATAAATAAATAAATAAAATAAAAATAAAAAAAGTGTGTGGTGACAACCTCCACCCAGTCTTCATGACTTCCTGCTCTGTGGAGACACCTGAAGGAGCAGCTAATCACTTCCTGCTAACAGCACCTGCTCCCATTCACAAAATAAAAGCACCTTTAGATCAATAATTAATAATCAGCGCTGACCATTCTTCACATCAGCACAACCACTTCCTGCTTCTTCTCACCCGAGGCAGGTAACTCTGGATCACTTCCTGTTGGCCGCACAGCGCGCGCGTACAGGTGTTTAACAAGTAGCGTGAGCTGTCAGTCAGCTGACCTTTCACCTAATGATCAATAAGAAACCACAATCAATCAATAACGGATCAGCTCCCGGGAGGTCAGCTGTCGCGCCTGTGACGTCAGAGCGCCGCTGTTAGCCTGCTAGCTGCCTGTTAGCCTGCCGTTAGCTTGCAGGCTACCTTTGCGCCCCGTCCGTGTTTTTCTTACCTTGAGCGTGACGTCACACAGCTTCCCCTGACGTCGGATCTCCTCCATGACGACATAGCCTCGAGCGGGCAGGTCGTGCATAGAGAAGTGAACCAAATCCTCGAGCTCTTCACAGAAACCGTCTCCCATCGTCAGCCAGAACTCCACCTTTCACAATAAGACACTTCCGCTTCAGCACTGCCCTTCAAAATAAAGCCTCGTTCGTTTCAAACAGATTTTGGAATGGTGGCCTGAAGGGTTAAGCCTCTTACAGGATGATGTCAGCAGCCTGGTCCTGCTCTAGATGTTTCAGGCGCTCTGCTGGGCTGACAGTGGAAGGTGGAGGTCTGAGGCGGCTGAAACTTTGTTCATGAGATGTTCTGCTTCAAACTCTTTCATCTTGTTCGTGGATGGCTCATTCAGTGGCTGCGATCATCTCCACCGCAGGAATTCTTCTTGGTGCACAGGTCCCCTTAGCTCTGTCTCCACTGTGGAGTACAGCTCCTCACACTGAAGACGTCTTTCGGACGAAAGACAAAACGTTTCTACAGAAAAACTTTCAACCCATCCAGAAGACCTGGCAACTTTTTTAGATTAAACTTGAATAGTTTTCATTTGATACTATTTCTATCTTAACATGTGATTCTTGACCTGCCATTGTGTATCTATTCCTACCAAACTCAGCCGGTCGAAGCAGATGGTCCTCTTGTCCTGATCCTGGTTCTGCTAAAGGTTTCTTCCTCATGAGGGAGTTTTTCTTTCCACTGTCGCCTTCATGCTTGTTCAAGATGAGAGTTCAGTGATGGAGCTGCTCCTCAGATGAGTGATGTTCCTTGAAACAAGGTCACAGTGAGTGCATGCTGTGATCAAAGCTGCAGGTCCAGCCAAACGCAGCGGACCTTGTTGTGGCCCGGCAGTGTGCATGGACCTTTGTGTTCAGCCCTGAGACGACTCCTGTTGGGACCTGGCGCTGTAGAAATCAGCTCAATGTTTTCATGCCTCACGTTTGTTGTGAAAACCTACGAGGAGAAATTATGAACTCACTACGGGGTGAACCTGTGACCGTTTTGCTGTGAGGCGCAGCTGTACCCACTGCTCCACTATGACAACTAACCAAAACGGTTTTATCAAATATTTTATTGATCATTTATTAAAAGGTTATGGGGTTAATCAGCTCAGCTCATCTGGTTTTCACTTTATTTTCAAAATGGTTTTTGTTAATAAACTTTTATTTTGAAATTGTTTTTGATTTTCCTTTAATTTTGAAAGTGCCTTCAGCCTCACAGCCAATCAAACAGCAGCTTCACAGAAATAAAAACAGCAGAAAAAAGTTTTATTCACGTTTCACGTTTGACTTTAACAACCTGAAGAGCACCTGAACGCAGCGAGGCGCCGCTTGGTTCTAGTTTGGTTCTGGTAACTGAAACCTGGACAGAACCCTGGCTGCTCAGGAACCGTGAGGCATTCAGGAACATCGGTCTGTTTGTGGAAGCAAACATTTTAGCTGCTGAAGTCACGTCTGGACCTCGTGATTCCACCCCACTCCACATTTCACAGACCCAGAAACCATCAGTTCTGGATCTTTTTGGTACTGGGTTCTGGAACGCTAGTCTCTGTCCCGCCAGGTCAAATCCTGAAAAGAACAGATCCAAAGCACTCAGAACCGAATCGCACCAGGCTTCGTTTGGGTCCGGTTCCTGTCTGGTCATAGACCTGGTGATGATGTAATGTGATGATGAGTTACACATGACGTCATTTGACCTCTGTGACCTGAATGCCAGTGGGTGGAGCTCTAAGTGGAACATGAAGTCATGTGACCTGTGGATAAACAACCTGAAGAGTCTGTCCCACCAGAATCAGACACTGATAAAACCTCGGAGCCTGGGCTCCAGTTCTTTGGGGTTCCAGCTCGTCCGAGTCCTACGCCGACAGGTCGCTGGTGTCAAAGCGCTCTTGGTTGTAAACCTCGGCCACTACCTTCCGTCCTCCAAACCAGCGATTGTTGAGCGCCTGAATGGCCCGGTCCATCTCGGCCACTTCGGAGAACTCCACAAAGATCTTAACAATGATGTCTGCGTCCTCTTCCTCGCCCTGACGCTCCTGGTAGATGATGACACGCTTCACTCGGCCAAACTTTCCACACTCCTCCGTCACCTCACCCTCAAGGTCATCGTCAATGTCATCAGGTCCAACCATGTTCCTCAGAACCATGACGGTGGACTGCAAGGGAGAAAAGCAGGGTGAGGGATCAGAACCAAAGTGTACCATCAGTCAAATTTTAACTCTGTCAGCAAAACATTTCAACACAAAACAACAAATGATGCAACTTCATTAAAACATGGATACCATGTTCCAGTCAAATGATAAGATTCCTGCTGTCCTCCTCCTGGGTGGAGCTACACTTGCTCCGCCTTTCTTCTGGGAAGAGTAAAACTTGCCCCGCCCACTTCATAGGAGGAGTCAAACTTGCCCCGCCCACTTCATAGGAGGAGTCAGGCTCACCTCGTTAGTGGTGGGCGATATGGCTCAAATATAATATCGTGATGTTTCAGAGCATTTTGACGATAACGATAAATTTTGTGATATAACCAAACAAAAAAAAGAAATCAGTTATTGATTTGACAAAATTAACACGTTGCTTTAAGTATTATATAAAAACTAAAAAAAAACAACAACAAGGGTTAATTTTACTGAAATTACTTTATTTAGTTCATTCTTTCTCACCTCCGGGACCTGTGCCCACTCTCATATGTAGCATGTAGACATTTAGGGTTCTGGGCAAGGGTTAGGGCGGGGGGGTGAACGGGCACTGCCTGCTCTCTGGGGAGGGGGTGGGTCTGTGCCAGTCGCCACCTCATCCCCCCCATTTTAAACGCACTATATAACAACATGCATCAACACCTTATTTGAGTGGGAGGAGGGAGGAGTTGGGTCTTCCAGCTTTTCTTAAACCCTCATTCTCCGTCTGACATTTGGGGTCGGGGGGGGGGGGGGGGTAGGCGGCGTGGTTGGGGGCTGGGCTGGGGGTGGGTATTGGGCCTTTGGGGGCGATTGGGGGTGGGGCTGGTGCTCCGGTTCTCCCTAGATTGTTTGGATCCTGTCATGATTCATGTTTTCTGGACTGTTCATGTCATGTTTCCTTTTTTTGTTGCTCTCCCTCAACTCCTATCACTTAACACCGCTCACCTGCGTCTGCCTAATTATCTCAAGCTGTTTAAAAGCCTCTCTCAGACACTGCACCAGTGCCAGATTATCTGAAGCTTTCAGCCAAAGAGATCCAGCCTTGTCAAGCCAAACCAAGCTCTGAGTCTGACCCATTGACCCATTTCTGCCTTCTGAACCCCTGTTTATGCCTGATCCTTGTCTGCCAACGTTTGCTCTCTGATCTCAAGGTTTTGACCCCCGCCTGGCTTTTTACTTTGCTCTGCCTGCTCCTCTGCCTGACAAGTTGTTGCTCTCGGATCTTATGGTTTGACCTCTGCCTGGCCCTCTGGATTCTGCTCAGCCTGTCGATTTCTCTAACCCGTTTGTTCTGTGAAGACCTCATCATCTATCTGGACCATTTGCTTGGACCGTGCTCTTCCTGGGATGTCCTAATCCTTGACAGGTTGGTCTAATCTTTCTGAGCTAAAATTGACCTGCCTTGCCCCTGTCACTCACCTGCCTCTCTCTGCTTCAGATCTGCAAATCAGTCCCTGAGGTTCAGTGTCCAGAGATGCAGTCTTCATTTAAAATAAAGCCTGTAAATGATTTTTGTGTGTTGGTAGCATTTCTGGGTCCTTAGTTTACGTATTCATTACAGATCCTTTGATCAGGGTTCCTGGTTCTGATGGCCAGCCCTTTGGCTGGGGTGGCTGCCGGGTTCTGGCGGGAGGTCAGCTGTGGTTGTGTGTGTGTGGTCGTTGGTAGTGCATGGCGGCGGTCGGGGGCATGGCTTCACTTCGACGAAGTGCTGGCTGGTCACCATGATGTGACATTCACGGTGCGGGGTGCTGTGTGTGTGTGTGTGGGGGGGGTGGTGCATGGGTGGCATGCCGGGGCTTCTCCGGGCCTGTGGTGTGGGGCTTTAGGGATGCATTGGTGCGCTGGGCCAGTCTTCCTCAGCTGCTGCTCTGGCCCCCGGCCTGGGGCCGGCTTGCGGTCACTGTTGGGCAGGTGGGGCGCATGGATGGCCCGACAGAGGCTCTGTCAGGCTGTCTCTGTGTGCCTGTTTGTCTCAGGTTGGGTTTTGGGTGGCCCCCCTCTCTTGGACCAGTTTTGGCCCCCCATTTGGTGGGCCGTGCTCCCCCCCGGTGGTGGGCCCCCCTGCTGCCGGTGCATTGGCGGCTCTCAGCAGCTGGGGCTGGGTGGTGGGGTGTGTGCAGGCCCGCCCTGGTGGCTGCCTGCGGGGGCCTGGGTGCCCTGGCTCTGTCGGGCCTCTGTTGGGGGGTGGTATGACCTCGGGACTCGGGGCTTGGTGTCCATGGCCGGATCTACTCTGGAGGGGTAGGTTGCCGGTGGGGCCTGTGGACTCGTCGCTGCAGCCTCCTGGGGGTTTCTGCATTGTGGTGGCTGGGGATCGCCCGGGGCTTCTCTCTCTGGGGGGTGCGGATGTCCCTGTTGGGGGTCTCCCGGAGTTCCGGGCTTGGGGGCCGCTGTGTGTCTGTGGTTCCGGTCTTCCCTGTGTTACCTTCGTGTCCTGTGGGGACGGGTCTGTGGGTCCCCACATCCACTATTGAACATTTTTATGGAGAAACCTTATAGTGACATCATGCTCACACAAATGTTTAGATCCAGGTGTTCATCAGATACACACTCAGTCAGGTTTCGGTGGCCACTAAATATATCTTGTATTACCATGTACTGTATAAAATACTTTGTAATGATGTTATAAGTATCATTATATAAGTTGTTTGTTGTTGTGGTTTTTCAGTTTTGTCTCGTCTTTTCTTTCCGCAGGTCTAGAGTCAGACTTCAATGATGTTGATCTGTGTTCTCTTTATCTCTCTCTCTCTCTCCTCTATTCCTATCTCCTTCTTTACATTTTAACTCTTCTCTCACTTTTCTGCTTTGTTTTCTTCTTTGCTTTCCGTCCCCGTGTCCATTACATCTGAAACAAACCCAAAGCAAATTCTAATAAAATTTAATTTATATATCAAGTGGAGCATTAAGGCCAGCCATGATGCTCTGCTTGTGAAAGTAAATCTGTTGGGCATCACTTTGACACTCACACAATAATTCTGAGTGTCACAATGATGGACAGGACAAGGGAGGAAATTTTTTTTTTTTTACTGAAATTACTTTACTAAATAAAGTATTCAGTCTCAAAGTATAAAAACAAAAACTAAAAAAGATCCTTCTTTTATTTAGATTGAAAAAGTCTGCATAAAATACAGATCAATAAATCCACCACAAAAACTAAAGTGCACGTGCAGTTCCCAAGTACAAACCGGATTCCAAAAAAGTTGAGACACTAAACAAATTGTGAATAAAAACTGAATGCAATGATGTGGTGATGACAAATGTCAATATTTTATTCGTAATATAACAAAGATGACAGATCAAAAGTTTAATCTGAGTAAATGTAACAATTTAAAGGAAAAATATGTTGATTCAAAATTTCACAGTGTCAACAAATCCCAAAAAAGTTGGGACAAGTAGCAATAAGTGGCTGGAAAAAGGAAATTGAGCATATAACGAACAGCTGGAAGACCAATAAACACTAATTAGGTCAGTTGACAACATGATTGGTATAAAAAGAGCTTCTCAGAGTGTCAGTGTCTCTCAGAAGCCAAGATGGTAAGAGGATCACCAATTCCACCATTGTTGCACAGAAAGATAGTGCAGCAATACCAGAATGGTGTTACCCAGCGTAAAATAGCAAAGACTTTTAAGTTATCATCATCAACCGTGCATAACATCATCAAAAGATTCAGAGAATCTGGAACAATCGCTGTGCGTAAGGGTCAAGGCCGTAAAACTCTACTGGATGCTCGTGATCTCCGGGCCCTTAAACGTCACTGCACCTCAAACAGGAATGCCACTGTCAAGGAAATAACAGAATGGGCTCAGGAATACTTCCAGAAAGCATTGTCAGTGAACACAATCCACTGTGCCATCCGCCGTTGCCAGCTGAAACTCTACAGTGCAAAGAGGAAGCCATTTCTAAGCAAGCTCCACAAGCTCAGACGTTTGCACTGGGCCAGGGGTCATTTAAAATGGAGTGTGGCAAAATGGAAGACTGTTCTGTGGTCAGATGAGTCACCATTTGAAGTTCTTTATGGAACACTGGGACGCCATGTCATCCGGACCAGAGAGGACAAGGATAGCCCAAGTTGTTATCAACGCTCCGTTCAGAAGCCTGCATCACTGATGGTATGGGGTTGCATGAGCGCTTGTGGCATGGGCAGCTTGCATGTCTGGAAAGGCACCATTAATGCAGAGAACTATGTTCAGGTTCTAGAACAACATATGCTCCCATCTAGACGTCATCTCTTTCAGGGAAGACCCTGCATTTTTCAACACGATAATGCCAGACCACATTCTGCAGCAATCACAACATCATGGCTACGTAGGAGAAGGATCCTGGTACTGAAATGGCCAGCCTGCAGTCCAGATCTTTCACCTATAGAGAACATTTGGCACATCATAAAGAGGAAGGTGCCACAAAGAAGGCCCAAGACGATTGAACAGTTAGAGGCCTGTATTAGACATGAATGGGAGAGCATTCCTATTTCTAAACTGGAGAAACTGGTCTCCTCTGTCCCAAGACGTCTGTTGAGTGTTGTAAGAAGAAGGGGGGATGCCACACAGTGGGAAAAATGGACTTGTCCCAACTTTTTTGGGATTTGTTGACACCATGAAATTTGGAAACAACAGATTTTTCCCTTAAAATGAAACATTCTCTCAGTTTAAACTTTTGATCTGTGATTTGTGTTCTATTCTGAATAAAATATTAGATGTTGGCACCTCCACATCATTGCATTCAGTTTTTATTCACTATTTGTTTAGTGTCCCAACTTTTTTGGAATACGGGTTGTAAACCAAATACAATGATGCTTAAAAGCATGGGGGGAGGGGGGGTAGCGACACAGCCGAGCTGCGCGTTTTTGTACCAGCAGTTTAGAGCGCGTCGGGGGGACACAGTCAAGCTGCACACTGCCTGCACTGGCAGCCCAGAGCGAGGGGGGGGGGGGGGGGGGGAGAGACACAGCTTAGCTGCGCGTTGTTCGTTTTTAGTTTTTTAGCTAGCAAGTATTGCGCACAGCTAATTAGCGTTACGCCAGTACCGACAGGTGGGTAGGTGGGGGGGGGGGCACAGTTCGGTTTGGTACTTCAACGCACTTGGTTCTGTTAATGGGGCGGGGCGCCCCACTTGTATAATGGTAGGGGAAACACTGACATATTTATGAAATGAGATTTAGCAAACCATCATATCATTTATTTTCCTGGGCCAGCTTATTTTTACTGGTATCGTGAACAATATGATATGGCCCAGCTTTAAACCCTGCCCTGTTCATAAGAGATGTTCTACTCGCCCCACCCTCTTCATAGGCGGAGTCAAAACTTATCCCGCCCTCTTCATAGAAGGAGTCAAACTCACTCCACTCCAGGCTCACCTCCTGTTTCCGGAGCAGCTTCCTCATCACCATGTGTCGGGCGCTGCTGCCGCTGATGCTCATGTGCTCCTGCTCACTTAGTGGCTCAGTGGTTCCATCCTGCTGCACCTCCTGCTGAAACGCTGCCTCCTCTTTCTTTTTCTGTTCCGCTCCAAGCAAGGTTGTTACTGACCGGGGCGTGGCTAGCACCGGGGTCACCAGCCCCACCTGAGGCAGGCCAGGTCGAATTGGGGTCACGCCTGAAACTGACAGAAGTAGAAATTTAGCTCAGAAACAGGATGCTGCCACATAAGCCCCGCCCCTGTAAAAGGGTGTGTCTAGAGCAGAAGGAGAGCTCAGAGGCAAAAGTCAGGAGGTTAAGTGGGTAGGAGGTGAGGGATGAGGCTTAGGCTTGTGGGTGGGGCCAAGCCTGGTCTTACCTGTGATGACACCTGGGGCCTGGGTGGCCATGACGGCCTGAGGAAGTCCAAGTTGCTGGGTAAGGAGAGATGGAGCAGCCAGCGCTCCGAGAATTGATGCTCCAACTGACTCCTGAATGCACCACAAACACACAGAACTGAGGAAATAATACTAGAGCAATGGAGTACAAATACTGTAAGAACAGTTCAATTCAGTTTATTTCTACAGCTCCAAGTGACAACAGAAGTCATCTCAGGACACTGAACAGAAACATTCATATTTATAAAAAGTCCAATAATATTAATAAATAATATTACTTATTTCAAATACAAAATACTATTACTGTACCATATCAAATGCACACAGTACTGAGGAAATAAAACTACAACAAATATAAACAAACTGTACGACGATGTCCTCATGTCTGAGGGACTAGATTAGATTAGTGAATGTTGGTAGGTTTCAAGATGAGTGTTTGTCTGGACTGGAACTGAACACAGAAAGAAGTGAACCTAAAAGTTTTTCATTAAGATATAT